TTGAGTGTTTTTTTGTAAGAGAAAACAAAGAGTATAGTGTTTTTTATTTATTTATTATTGTTGCGAATTTTTGATGCTTTGGAACCTCATATATGATAGATATGATAATGTCGCATCTCTTATCAAAAACAGAGAATCAAAGACAAAGCAAAATAGCATTGGTTGGAAAGTAGAAAAAAGTTGTCCCATAATGATTCTCAAAAAACGAAAGAAAGACATGTGTCCCATAATATTCTCAATAATCTATATAAATAAATATTTTTCCCAAAAAGTTTATTTGTAGACGTGTGTTTGTAAAACACGAATTCTCTAACTAAAAAGCTGATGTTATATGGTAAATGCATGCTCTTTATAATCTTTATAGGCTTGGTCACAAAAAGGAGCGAATGTTTTGCTCTAAATCTGAAACAAACACATTTTACGTGTAAATCCCACTCAAAATTTAGTTTCTTTTGTTTTTAAATTCAAAGTTACAGAAATGTCTATAAACGAATGTATTCTTCATTTGAAACATTTCGTACAAATCCTTAAAATTCTCTCTTTTCTATTTGTAGGTAACAAAATCTCAGACCGAATTTCAATCAAATAATCAATACAAGTGAACTTAAATAATGATGTGATTATGATCCGAACCAACCATATATACTCTTTTTAATACATTACAATGCTGTTATGTCTTGCTTCATACGACACCACCATCATTGGAACAAAGTGAAACTCAGGGCATTGTTTTAAGAACAAAGTATTATGGGACTGAGCATTTTATGGCTTACCTGTTTTTCATATTAGGACATAGAAGTTTCAAACATTCCGCGATTCAACAAACACTGTCGTTGTTCTTGCCGGTATAGTGAAGCAGCCGGAAAACGTGTCGTACACTGATTTCTTGACTATTTCATCGCCTGACATCACCTGTGATTCGGAAACGGTTCGTCAGGAGGAGAACTTAAACTTTTCTAATACACAACAATGTACCGAAATGCGAAAGCTTAAGATATTGTTATATTTTTCTGTAATGCGCAAATTTACCTGTACCGGATGTAATTCGAGATTTCTATCTTTCAGAACGGGCGTGCATTGAAGATGACCACAATGAACGAGTAGCTGGACGAGTACAAGTACTGTTACCGAACAATAGCTTTGAAAGTTTTGTGGATCATGTTGTTTTTTACTTACATTGGATCGATCTGAGATTCATTTGGGATGCCTTTGTGACCATCTTCAATGCTCATGACAATGGCGCCGGGAATTGATGTGTTATGTGTTATGAAATCGCACTCGCTCCTGCAAAATACAGAGTGGTCATATCAGTCCACAAGTACTCCAAAACAAAAAAATTCTTCATTTGCGACTTTGTGGTGATTATGAATGAGATCAATATAATCACAGATATTTTTCCTCCAAGCCTGCATAAGCTTGTGGTAGTATTTTTGGTCTTTGTGACATTTTACGGCATTGAAGATGCAGAGAACAGAGAGCCTAGTGAAGAGAATTATAAAACAGTGGTCATCAAGACCTGGATAGCCTTTGCTGTAACAATACTAAAAAATTGTGGAGGGTAGCAACTATGTGGCTTCTCTGAGGCTTGAAGGATGGATCCCGCAACCTTGGTTTAATCCTGAAGACATATGTAGCACATGATGACTGGTTTCAGAAACATGTAGTTTTATAACTAATCCAAACATATTTAACGCGATCGAGTTGGTGCTTACAATGGCCAACTGTGTTCGTTTTTGCCCTTGGGAGGAAGTCCAACACCCCAATTGTTGGAATTGTAGCTGAAGTCTAGCCTAAACTTGCCGCCATTTATGTCAATCAGTGAGTGCAATGTTAAATACACAAGAGCAAAGTCAAACCTATTGAACCAGTCACCGGAGTTATAAGAATCACGATCAAGTGATTTTGAGCGTAGAATCTCGACCCTTCACATGCAGAATACAACATATTTATTTTTAATTTTAAGATAATGAGCCACACAAGAAATTCTACTCGGCATAAAAGATTCAAGATTAAATCTCTACTAACCCTACTCTGCAGTCCCTTAGTCTACAAGTGTACTCTGAGTTAAGTAGGGAGATAGTAGGAAACCTGCGAGAGGGCAATCATACTTGATGCCAAATGATTTATTCGACAGATATTTCCATCGGAGTCTGTAAGAAAACGGTGGACAAAGCAGAAATCAGTCTACACATACCCTTAAGTAAGAATTTAGAAGGCAGATGTCTCCATAAAGGTTCAAAAATCATATTTACTCTTTTACCTTCAAACTGATAATGTCAAAGAGGGTTTCGTTGTCATGAGCAGAGACGTAGTTAATCTAATCAACGATGCAAGGAAAAATGAAATTATATATATTAGCTACAAAATGAAATCTAATCAATCTATTTGTCTTAACTCAACTTGTAAAACTACAAATAGTAGTAAGAAAGGAAAACATTGGGACAAGCTGTGAAAGTGAGTATGAGAACAAGGCTGGGTTTGGGGATCCCTAGGCCTTGATCGCGACAATAAGATTACTGTATTGCAAATGATATCTAACACACATGACTTACCTGTATATGATCCTTTGCAGTAGAAAGCATAAGTTCCTGGGTAGCTTCGGAACCATGAGCATGACCATTAGGCTGTTCATAAAAGAAATTGTAAGGAATTGAAGAGAAGAGAAGAAAAATTACATATTTCTGATGCATATCTCTAATTGAAATAATGAATTACCCACTGAAAAACAAGGGATTTGTTTATTCCCAACAAAGCTATGAACATGTATTGCTGGTATAATCATGGAATATGTGTATGCAATGAAGTGGTCTAATACTATTTTCTTTCTTGGAACCTTGTTAACTGCACAAATAAAATCCAAAATACCTGTAACAATAAACCTGTGATCTATATTGGGGATATGTTTATTAATACACTTTCTTTGGCAGAAAAATTCCGCTTAGTGCCGAATTTATTGAAATGAGACGAGCAGCGTTGGATATATTTGTTAATCGGATAGCATTACACCCTGAGCTTCAGCAGAGTGAGGATCTTAGGACCTTTTTGCAAGCAGATGAAGAGGTAGGATATCTGGACTTTACATTTCTGGAGATCTTTTCCGGTGTTTTTACTTTCCTTCACATTATCTTCACATAAGAATGTTCAGAAATTGCATTTATTGTCTCCCTTAGGGACTGCACTTTGCATTTTAGAAGCTTCTTGTCTTTGTTTGACAGTTTACTTTCTCTTCAGACAAATGGAAAGATTCAGGTTTCAGGAAACTGGTATATTCAAGAAGAAGCCTGCAGATCTAATGCAAATGTGTAGGGTAAGCATAATTTTTCCTGACCATTTAAAAATATTTTCAACATCATACAACAGATACATAATGGGATGCTACTAGGAAGTTTAATATGAATTTTAGCTTGTGGAACAATTGCTGGACATAATATAGCATTATTCTCTGGCAGCAATTTATGGTTAAAATACCCAACTTGGCATTTTAGGGATATATGATCAATATGTATGTATCTTGTTTTTTAAAAGTAGTAATAATGCAATATTCATTTTTCGTGTAAAACAAAACTGGTTTATTGAGCCCATAAGAAAAAGCCCAAATAAAAGAAGCCCAACTCGACCAAATGAAAAAGAAAAGTATTTGCCCTAGCTTCTCTTCTTCTCTGCATATATATTTTACGGACGAGCAGGTGAGAGATTAAGCCTCTCTATTTTACTCAGCTACTCAACTCTTAGTAACGGAAAAAAATGGTTTCCGATTTGGATCTCGTGACCCGACTCCGAGAAATTCTCCGTATCTCCGACTTAGATACGGCGACTCCGGCAAGCGTCCGTCGTCAGTTAGAAGAGGATTTCAGTGTCGACTTGACGGATAAAAAGGGCTTCATCAGGGATCAAATCGATGCTATTCTCAAGAGCAATGCCGGAATAGAAGACATTCCAGAGAGCCCTAGGACAGAAGAACGGTAATCTAATTTCTCTTGCAGTGATCATGGGTTTTGTCAAATTTTTTATTTTTTCATCTTTTTGTGAGAAAAATTGTGTTTTTTTCGTTTCTATGGTAGGATTGCGATGGACGGTATTGTTAGGATTGCGATAGAAGGTGCTGTTGGTCGACATCCGGTTGTTATGATATCTCGACCATCGATCTCACTGCAAAAGTGTGAATGGATTGAAGGTGAAAGACTTATTCTCATCTATTACTGTACTTTACTTGCATCTGTACACTTACGTGAAGAGAGGTTACATATGGATGCTAGCTGTTCCAACTGATCGTTTATCAAATCCTGATATTCGTGAGGACGATGACTTCATGCTTGGATTTTTAAGTTGTACATGTGGATCAGTAGTTAAGTTCAGTGTCAAGTTTGGGACGGGGTTTGTCGAAATTGTTGCTTAGTTTGGCTTTTATCTCTCTTTTTTAATTCCACTTAAACCTCAAATCACATGACCAAATGAGAAGGAAAAAATTCTCATTGTTTATACAAGCAGGAAAATATTTTCTCTACGTTTAAGTGGAATTGAAAAGAAACATTTTTCTTTTCTATTTTTTTTATTGGACAAATTAAGCAACAACTTCGACAAAGCCCGTCCCAAACTTGACACTGAACTTAACTACCGACCCACATGTACACCTTAAAAATCCAAACATGAAGCCATCGTCCTCACGAATATCAGAACTTGGTAAACGATCATTTGGAACAGCTAGCATCCATATGTAACTTCTCTTTACATAGTACCTGAAGTGTACAGATGTAAGGCAAGTACAGTGATAGATGAGAACAAGTCTTTCACTTTCAATCCATTCACACTTTTGCAGTGAGATCGATGGTCGAGATATCATAACAACCGGATGTCGACCAACAGTACCTTCCATCACAATCCTAACAATACCTTCCAGCACCTTTTGCAATGGGAAAAAATTCTCATTGTTTATACAAACAGGAAAAAATTTTCTCTACTCTTCAAATTCTGCAAATTTATTTTTCCTTCTCTTTGAAAATGTTTCACCGATATTATGTACTTATCTTTATCTTAATTAAAATCTGCTGTGTTCTAAAATCTTATAAAAAACATGTAAGAGTAAAATAAAATATCAATTGAGCTGTCTATCTAATTTAGGCTAGTCTAGAATGCGTGAACCATGACAGTTCGAGCCTAAAAGTGTAGATAGTAACTGCTTTATACCTAGGCTACACTCTATGATAGCTTAGACATGATCTCTGCTCTCTAAAATATAAATAAATAAAAATACTGTATTGTGCATTTTGTTTTCAATTGTTATTTTTATTGTGAATAAGTACTACCTCTCAAAGAAAGTGTTCATTGGGTTCATTAACCGAAAATATAGAACAAACATGTTCTTCCCACAATCTTCCGGAAGCGGCGAAGTCGATGTTGTATAAACATGACCTTGTAAAACGCCTGAAAGAAACCTATGAACTGACCAGCACACGAACAGAGCTGAAGAGTAGAGACAATGAGCGATAATAGGACCCTCCGGATATACAACGCTCTTAACAAAAGGGTTGCAATAGATCGAAACCAGAGTGGAACCAAGAGACCAAACCGAGCAAAAGAGCTGTATTAACCTGCTAGCCACCGGACCGGCGACGACAAACGAAGACAACAAGGCAACTAAAGAGAGAGGAAGTCGTTCTTTTAACCCGAAAATTCACACAAACCAAAGCTAAAGTAACCGATCGAAACCAGAAACTAACGAGACGAGAGCCCAGATCTGAAGAGAGGGATGTCGGATGAACCTGAGATCCAACATCGACGAGGAGAGCAAAGCGTGGAAAGAGGGAGGTCTTTGCCGCAGACGAATCTCGTGAGACAAAAGGCTTGCGCACCACCGCTTTAGACACGCCACCACCTTCACTACGAGCCTCCCCTACGAGCTCGGACCACCCCGAACCACAACCCAAACCTCACACATCGATCTAATCATCAACCCATCGGACCAAAACCGCTCAAAACAATCTGCAAGACCGAGAGAAAAAAGACAAAAGAACAGAGGCAAGAACCCATGTCCGGCACCGACGCTATTGGAGCCGCCAGCACCGATCAAGAAGAAAATCGACGATTTAGCTTGTAGAGAGGAAAATCGCCTAAGGTGGCTGCCGACTTTTTTTTTTCTCGTATATATGTTGTAGTTAACTGCGAGGAAAATTAATAAGATAAGAAATACTCCCATTATAAGTAAGTAAATTTAATAAATGTGATGCGTACCAAAAATTTATATCGTTGTTGAGGCACTGAATGGAGAATGGATTAGTGGATCTTCCCACTATAGTAAACGTTTTTAGATGGACCCATATCTTTACAGCTATATAAAACCCAAAAACTTTATATGATTTTTTCTCTAATAATATTCAAACCAGTAGTTAGAGAATTAATTTAGCATCAAAGTAGATAGTAAACCAAATTTAAAATTCATAACATTTTAATGATGGACATGGACCCATTGTACAGCTCTAACAAATCAAAAATTTATTTGATTCATTTCTAATAAATATTCAAAAATGCTAGTTAGAGTGTTAATTTCTATAAAAAAAATAGTTGAGTAAACATAATCTGTATGGAAATTTTAGAATAATATTTTCTAAGAATCTATCATTCAAAGAAAAAATTACTCAACTCCCATGGAACTATGCGAATATAACTAGAATGCCATATATCTTTCAAAAATGACTCAAATATTTTCACATCCCTGGTTAATTACGATAAACACCTTTGATTAATTTTTCTTAATTGAGATTATTTTTAATTAAAAAATCAAAAACAAATCCACATCATTAAGAAATAACCGTGATCAGAAAAGAGTCAAGTTTTAGTGCCAAAAAAAAAAGAGTCAAGTTTCAAAAGCAAAAACGTTTAACATCTCCTCTCAAAGGAAAAAAAAACGCAAAAGAAAAACCACAAACTTTCTCAACTGTTCTTTCGAAATCGACATTGTTTCTTTCTTCGTGATCGTCTTCTCCACAATCGAAATCGACTTCCCTCGTAATCGTCTTCTCCGCAGTCGCCTACAATCGTCTTATCCGGTAG